ACTTACTACAACATTTAGCAGTATTTCTCCAGTATTTGCTCCATTTGTGTATTTACCCAGGTCTTACAAACAGCCTTTTTAATCGCATGTCCTTATTTGTACTTTTCTGTGCGAGTTACCACATAAATGACGTCTTGGGAGCAGTGAAGTTCCATTAGCTACGCGGCTACACTAACACACCTCATGTTGTTGAAAGATGCTTTGAGCCCACTCCCCTGGCACCTGTCTGTAAAAAGCACATACAGGACTTTTCCATTCCTGTCAGAGCTGGAAACAAGTCTGGAGTAAAGGGAATGTTCTGTTACTTCAAAATACTTCCAAGTATCCTTCCAAAATATGTACTACATGTTAATGACTGAGTTAAGTTGAGTGGTGTGCTCTCATTGTCATCACTGCTGTACCTACTATTTTAAAGCTACTACTACGACTACTACTACTGCTGCTGCTACTACTACTACTACTACTACTACTACTACTACTATTACTACTATTACAGTTGCTACTACTTTTATAACAACATCAACTTCTACATCTACATAAATTCTACTAAAATTGCTACTATTTCTATAACACCAACTTTTACTACTACTACTACTACTACTACTAATACTACTACTAATACTAATACTACTACTTTTGTTACTACTAATGTTACTACTGCTACTATTGCTTCTATAAAAACAGAAAATGTAGTAGCAGCAGTAGTAAATGTAGATGTTGTAGTACAAGTTGTTGTTGTAGTAGTAGTAGTAGTAGTAGTAGAAGTAGTGGTGGTAGTAGAAGTAGTAGAAGTAGTGGTAGTAGTACTAGTTAGTAGTAGTTAGTAGTAGTAGTAGTAGAAGTAGAAGTAGTAGTAGAAGTAGTAGTAGTAGTAGTGGTAGTAGTGGTATTAGTAGTAGTACAAGTGATAGTAGTAGTAAGTAGTAGTTAGTAGTAGTTAGTAGTAGTAGTAGTAAGTAGTAGTAGTAGTAGATAGTAGCAGATAGTAGATACGAGCTTGATGACACAGCACACACAATTCAGTCAATAAAATGTAGTACTGTACATACTTTGGAAGTACTTTGAAGTATTTTGAAGTTTTATGTGTAACTTATAAGTTTTTGGTTTAAGTCTGGTTAAGGTTTAGTTTAGTTCTGGTTTAAACCTGATTTAGACTGAGTTTAGGTGTAAAAGTATTTGTTTAAGTCTGGTATAATTTCCCACCAACAATACATGTATTTACTGCAGTATCCTGAGTTGCTATGGAAACATATTAGCATAAAACTGCGATATTTCCTTGTTATGTCATGTTGTGATACAGGCCCAGGATTCCCAGCAGCAGAGTGTGTTCCTGTTTAGACACCAGCGCAGTATTTGTGAATGGAACGCTTGAGTTCGTGGAAAGAAGGAGCCTCATTTTGTGTATCTGGATAAACAGGGCATGTATTTGTTGGGTAAACAGTTGTATTTTTGCAAATGAATACCTGAAGTGTAGGAGAAAGAGTAAACATCCAGGCTGAGTTTGTGGTGTTTAGTTTATGTCAGGTCACTTTAAATCATTGCGTGTATTTCTGTACCACAAGGGGGCATTATAACACAGGTTCAAAAGCAGTCTACAAATTTCTGGAGCTGTTTTTGTTTGTTTTTTTCCTGCAGTAAATTCGTTCTTCCTGATTAAACCACTTTTGAACATAGAGATTAAAATGTTTGCGATGTTAATATGGAGAATTAACAAATGACAAACAAATACTATAATAATTTACAATAATATTTAAACAGATGTAATTTGTTTGTGTTTGTTTTTGCATAATGATCATAAGTTAAATCAGTTAAAAGTGAAATGTGTAACTTTTCTGGTGGAGCTTGCTTGTCTACTTACAGTAACAGCCGTTAACAGTTTATCTGTCTCCATGAAGAAAAAACTACGACGCCATCCAGGCCAGGTCAGGTCAAGTCAGATCTGTGGATAGGCAAACCCTCTCAAAGAACAAATCCACGTTTTTCAAGCAGTTCGTAGCAATAAAAGTAAATGTTACGGTGGAATATTCCAGGAAACAAAACAAAAACAAAATAACATATGAACTGAGACAAGCACATGGCAGACCCTTCATCAGAAAAGTTGCATAGTGAAGCTTTGACATAAGTCAGGTTTATTTTATGTCACATTTCAGGTGGAGATTCCACTACCTGATTTTTTTATTTTTTATTTTTTTGGAGATTGTATTCCTTTGCTTTGATAAAATGATTCACAGTGTCACGTTAAGCTTATCTGTCTTCATGAAAACAAGGTGAGCCAATCTAGGTAAGTTACAGGTCAGATCTGCGGAGAGGTGACCCCGCTCACTGTAAGAATTCTTTTAAAAACTTGTGCAATTAAATAAATGCAAAATGTATCTGTTTAATGACACTGTGGAACATTGCAGGAAAAGCTGTAACATCTGCAGGTGTAGATCACCCATCAGAAAAGTTACATAATGGGCCTTTAATTTAATAGTGGTGTACGGACATTATTCTCTCATCCCTGTGCCTCTTTGGGCTTGTCTGTTTGTCATCTCCGTGTTTCTCACAGTCGCAGTGTAAAGCCCCAAGTACAGGCTCTGTTGTCACATCATCAGCTGCTCATCCGGATATGCCCCCTCTCCTCTCCTCCTCCTCTCCTCTCCAAACTCTCTCTCTCTCACACACTCTTCTCCCAATCTCCCCCTCTCCTGTGCCCCTCACTCGCTCTCTTTCCCTCCTCTCTCCCTATTTCCTCTCCCTATCCCCCCTTCCCTATCCTCTCTCCCCTCTCTCATTCTCCCTATGGTCTCTCTTCCCTCTCTCTCTCTCCCTCTCTCTCCTCTCTCTCTCTCTCTCTCTCTCTCTCTCTCTCTCTCTCTCCTCTTTCCTCTCCACTCGCCCCTCTCCTTCCCCCTCCTGTCCCATACTCCCCCCCTCTCCTTTTTCTCCCATTCTCCCCTATATCTCTTTCTCTCCTCTCTCTATTTCCCTCCTGTCCCACCCTCTCTCTCTCTCTTTTCTCTCTTTCTATCACACCCTGCTTCTGTCCTCTTCCCCCCAATCTCTCTCTCTCTTCTCTCTCTCTCTCTCTCTCTCTCTCTCTCTCTCTCTCTCTCTGTCCTCTCTCTCTCTCCCCCCCCTTTCCCCCATTCTTTGCTCTCGTTTTCTCTCTCTCCCTCCTCTCTCTCTCGCTTTCCCCCCAGTCCCACCCTCTCTCCCT